GAGCAATCTGTAGAGCTGGAAGCGGAGAACTGGCGACATTGTCGAACAACTTTAGTACGCGGAGCAATCTGTGCAGCTAGAAGCTGAGAACTGGCGACTGTGTAGTACAACTGCAGTACGCGGAGCATCTGGGGAGCTGGAAGATGAGAACTGCCTGGCGACTGTCTAGGACAACTGTAGCACGCGGAACAACCTGTGGAGCTGGAAGCGGAGAACTGGACACTTTGTAGTACAAGTGTAGTACGCGGAGGAGTCATCTCTCGCTGCTCATTCATCTCTCGCTGCTGAGTCAGCTCTCGCTATAGCCATCTCTCGCGGCTGAGTCATCTCTCGCGACTGAGTCATCTCTCGCTGCTGAGTCATCTCTCGTGGGTCAAAAGTCCGGAGCGCGTGCGTTTGACTGGAGGACGCGCATGTTGGAGAGAACGTGGACACTCCTATAGGTCAACTTCTTCTTATAGGAAACTTCCGCCGCCGGCTTGCCCGGGAACTACTTGTATTTGTATATATGTGTGTTTGTTGAGCTGGTGAAATCTTGCACACTTCCCCTATGACATATGCAAATAACAGGCTCTGTGGTCCAACAGGCTCTTGGACCTCTTGGACTCAAGGCAAGAAACAAAGTCCGGTGGCCACTCACTGATTTGTGGTTCGAGGACTTCGTAATCGTTACAGTTCACCCGCATCATATCCCATCCTCTTCTCTTCCGTCTTCGCTTTCTGGAACATCCCATACGATTGAGGACATGCAGAGCCATCGCATCAGCCCCAACAGTGTCGCCCTGACCGCCTGCCTCCGGGCACTGGGGCGTGCAGGGCAGTGGCGGAAAAGCAAAGAACTGGTGGAGTGGAGCAGAAGGCAAGGCTTCACAATTGACTGACATCGGATTTTTTTCTCAAACTGATTGGATTGATTAGGATAATGTTGTGTGTCAGTGAGTGTTTTGAAGATCCATTTGTGGCTCTAAGATCCATTTCTTTTGGGATCCCATCGGATCATCGAGAAAACCATCTTTTTGGCCAGTCGTTGCACCCCAGATCTCGACTCATCTACCCTGAAGGTGTGGTTTGGCCTTGGATGCCTTAGCCTACGTAGCCTTAAGCTTCGCGCATGAGCAAAGTTCACGCTGGCAGCTGGCCTTGGCCTTGCCGATGCGACTCGGGAAGCCTTGATCGGGGCTAAACGTGTGAGAATAGGAATGGATAGTTGTGACATGATATGGATACATAAGATCCAAACATCTTGGGCTGTTTTGGTGGGCATGAGGTTTGGACTGGTTGTATGGGGACATTGTGATACTCCAGGGCTCGATTCTGTAAGGTTTTCTTTTAGTAATATCTCAGGGAGCATCATTCAGTTTTCTATTATTTTTGAAACGCTTGGATGTAAAACATCTTGACTTTTTGGTGCATCTTAAGGCCTAGCACAAACAGAGGTGTTTGGAGTAATGATTTGCAGGGATGCTTTACTTTGGCTTGATCCGGCATGGAGTGTTGCATAGGGCTTCAGAAGTACCACTTTCAGCAACAGTGTTGGTGGACGGATTCAAACACGGTGGGTTTTTCAATTTTAAACGAAACACAATCCAAAGGGCTGTTTTCGTTGATAGACTCTAATAGAATGCTGATGAAACAGTAGGTTGGTGTGTAGCTGTGCTGACAGACGTGCATGTTGAAAGATCCATTGAATCGGGGAAAGCCACCAGGTGTGTGGCCAGGCAAATCAAACCATTCAGTGCCATGCACCTCAACATCTCCATCCTGTTGAACGGTTGAATCCTCAAGACCCATCTTGAAACAGAGCCAGGCCCAGTAGGACGTTGAACATTCTCTTGAAACCATACTCAGAAAGCCCTACGACCCATGAAGATCCAACTTAGGAAGAACACTTCAAGCACTCCCCTCACAGCACTAGCCTTTGAAACCGCTTCAGGCACTGTCAGCTTGGTGCCAGTGGCTTTGGTGTCGCCTTGGCCGCATGCGAGAAGGCACAGCTCTGGACGCAAGCGTTGCACCTTCAGAACCAGCTGCAAGAACGACCCTTGGTGCGCAGCCCTGCGGTGGAGTTCGACTTCCCTCAGGGCGATCGGGATCTTCAGTGGTCCAAAATTCTACGAGACTCAACGCTGGTACTCAAAACAGCGGAGTCAAGTAAACCCCTGTCAAATCGAGAGATGAACCCGTTCTAGCCTTTTTGTACTCCATGCGCGAACAATGAGTATGAAAGTCCCACGCTTAGCTTACGCTTCTCTTGCTCCAGGCAAGCTGCTTGCAGTGCGTCTTCGATTTTTCCAGTTTGTAACAAGGGGGAGCCTTTGTTGGTAATCAAGATGATGAGCCAGAATTCTCGCATTTTTTTGGCAAATCCTACGAAAGTATGAACCTGAATGGTCTCATATAAAAAGCGATCTTGAAACCTCGGCGTGGCTTGTCACTCTCCAAATCTTCAGCCCACCGGGACTCGCCGGTTCGTCCAGGATCCGTCGACTTGAATCTGCTGATGCTGAACAGCCTTCTGAGCACCTTCTCGCAAGCCATGAAATGGACTCTTGCGCTCCAGCTGCTTCAAGGAGGCGGGAGAAGACAGGAAGGAAGGGAGAAGATGGCTACTAGGGTGGAGGCCATCGCTCTTAGGTTGGAGGCCATCGCTATTAGGTTGGAGGCCATCGTCACTAGGGTGGAGGCCAGGGAGAAGATGGCTATTGAGAGATCCCAGATGGGGGACACATCATCAAGTATGGGAAATGCACAAGCTGCGAATTCGGCTGATGAGGATTAGCACCAAGGCTTTGAGCATCAGGCTTTCCCATACACCCATTCCAAAAAGCATTCGCTGTTCAACTGGATCTGAGAGTAAAAACATGTAAAAACACCTTCTTCACAGTGAATGCTGTCAATTCTGGTGCCACTTCATGCCATTTTACTTCTTCAAAGCGCAAATCACTTCCACCCCGGCCACAGGCCCCGATGCAGTCGGCCTCTCTGCGGTGTTGGCCAGTTGCGAAGAGGGAGGCAGGGCCTGCACGACCGGAACTGGGAGCAGTGGTGGTAGTCAGGTGCTTTCATGATATAAAAGGACCATCAAGGCCATAGGATGAACTTGCAATACATAAAACCATCTTAAACCGCTGGGTCCTAGGTGGCTCATCACCTCCTGGTAACCATAATGAGGAGGGTTACAAGCCCCACCCCTCATGTCAGGACGCTGCATGGCTTGCTCAAGTTTCAACTCTTGCATTTGTTTCGGGTTTTGTTGTACAGGCCCCTCCTAGAAAGCCGGGACGCACTCGGACCTTTCTGCAAGAACTTAAACCTGGGAGATTCTGGTCGGATAAGCTTCAGCTTGATAGAACATGGAGACCAAGGTTTTCTTGTTTAGTAAACTTCTTTAGACAGACCGAGTCACAAAACACAGGACCTTCGAGCCTTGATTCCGTGCTTTGAGTTTCACATTTGTTCGATCTCATGTTTCGCATTTGTTCAGCGGTGTCGGGTGAAACACTCGCCACCCTGGACGCAGATGAGATCGGGGGCTGCGAGCCGGTGCGAATGCTCAAAAGGCGTTTGGCTGAGAAGATCGGCGTGCCGCGATTCCGACAAAGATGGTTTCTTGAAGAAGTTGAGTTGAAAGATGAGACCCAGTTGGAGTGGTCTTCTTGTCAGGAGGTGTACCTGGTGACTTTGGATTTCTGTGATCTCTATCAAGATGGTCGGAGTTTGGAACTCATTTCTGCGTCTCAAGAAAACCGCGTAGAGAGGGTGGAAGAACTACTGCAGTTGCCTCTTTCTCCAGATGCAGACAAAGTGGACTGGACAGCACTACGTGCTGCAGCGCGGGCAGGCAATGTGCAGTGCCTAACCTTGCTGCTGGAAGCTGGGGCTGAAATAGAACAAAAGGACGTCTATGGCAGAACAGCTTTGCATTGGGCAGCGTTTGAAGGGCGTTTGGAAGTTGTGGAGCTGTTGCTCAAGGCTGGGGCTGCCGTAGGTTGGGCCAAGAATGATGGGGCAGATGCATTGCATTTGGCAGTTTGGAATGGGCATCTAGAAGTTGTCCGGATATTGCTTCAAGCTAGAGCTGAAGTCGACAAGGGCACCAACGAAAGAGCGACTGCTTTGCATGTGGCTGCTCAGCATGGCTACCTTGAAATTGCACAAATGTTGCTGGATGTTGGGGCTGACAAGAACAAGGCTAGAGACTGTGGGCAAACAGCTTTGCACGGAGCAGCTGCATGTGGCCACCTGGAAGTTGTCCGGTTGTTGCTCGAGGCTGGAGCTGACATCGATGCTGCTTCAAGTGATGGTGGGGCCACAGCTTTACATTTGGCTTCTCAGAATGGTTTCCTGGAAGTAGTGCGCCTTTTGTTAGACTTTGGAGCTGATAGACATCAGAGACATCAATTTGGCTGGACACCTTTGCATGAGGCATTGGCTTCTGGACACCTGGACGTTGGTCGGTTGCTCCTGAAGGATGGCAGGCCAGGGTTGACTTTTGTGATAGTCGGGCTTTTCAACACACAGGATTCCTTTCTTTCGAATCACTTCTGTTTGCTATTTATAGTGATATATACACTATTTGTCGATCAAAGCTGGCTGGGAATTGGTTTGACGAACTAACCACCTTTGCAGGGGAACGCTCATGGAGAAGATCACCTTCCGCCTCGCCTCGCTCCAACACGGCTTCACCCTGGCGGCCCGCAGCTGCTTCGGCCGGACCGCGACGGATCCGACCCAGCAGGGTCCGTGAGGCGTGACGTGAAGGCCGTGATCTGGTTGTTCAGAAGGTCCAGCTGACGTGGTGGAAAAAGCGCCTGCCGTGGATGCTGCCGCGGCTAGAATTTCGCTGAGGGATGATGGACTTTGGATGAAAAGGTTTGGGTCATCAACCGCGGGTTTGCTTCTCAAAGGAGATCAAAGGTCAACATCCGAAACCACGGTTCACATGGTCTACACTTGCCTTTGCTGGCAGACGAGGCCTGATTCTGCAGTTCGTTGAGCATTCCAGCATCATCCGGGATCATTGCTTTCTTTGTTTCGACATTTGCAGGATGATTTTCTCAGGATTTAGCACATTCACTTGAGTCAGTTAGTGAAGCGAACCCCTAGCCCGCACGCTGCGACCAGAACTCCAACCTCACCCATGTCTTGAACGTTCGGGGAGGGGAACTAAGTCCACGGTTCCGAAGGAAGAAGTCCACCAGCTGGGAGGCATCAAGCATTGTCAGAGTCCCTTGTCATCGCTGCTGTCCGGTATGTCTTCAAAAAGACTGCACTGACTGCTAGCACCCGACTCTACCGGTCTCTGAAATGGTGGCTTTCGGAGACGTTCAAATGGCAGGTGGCGACCCTGTTGGAGGGTGCTGCTAGCAATCAAAGGATAGTGAAGTTTCTGCGAAGGGCTATTCGTACATGGTTTCCAGAGGTTTCTTTCGTATCTAGATTTTCTCGACTCTTGACTCTTGACTCTCCAAGTTGCATGTGGATGGAGTGTTTCTAACTTCAGATCTTCGCCACGTGAAGGTGCTCCGGCACTGCCCGCGCATCAACTCCTCGCAGCCACGCGCTTGTCATCAAGGCACATGGTATTCTTTTTTACTATTTTTCAGATCGAAGGGCCGAAAGGAAGGGTGAAGGAAGGGTGAAGGGATCTCTTGGGAGGTTGGATTGTTTTTACTATGTATATAATTGTATAAATATATATATATATATTTTTTTGAAAGTTTTATACATCAGATTTAAGGCTGTCGCTGTCCGTCCTTAGCGAAGTTAGACAGGACGACACAGTGCCTTCTGAAAAAAACTTGCTCCACAAAGGTTTTGTGCAAATGGTGTGCAAAAGCAGTGCACTCCACTCCGGATGTTACAGGTGTTGGAATTCAGCCCGAGTAGGTCGTGTGCGTCCCAGCTGTGGTTGTTTGTTTGGTCGGCCCTCTGGCTCAGGCCGCCCCACAAGCGCCCCGCAGAGCGCCAGTGGGGCGCTGAGCTGATGCGGATCCAGGAGCTTCAAAACAGGCGCAGCGCTGCGGCCCTCCGATGGCCTTGAAACCAACAATCCAAGGATCCAAGGATTCTGTTTGTCATTCCTTTTCACCATCGAAAAGCCTGGCCTTGATGCAAATGTGGACTCCTCCTTTTGTGGTGGCAGTGCTGCACATGTTCTTCACATGTCATGTTTTGCTTTGAAGCTGCGTTCAGGTCGAATGCTGACCATGACCAGTTAGTTTAAGGCGCTTGGTAGCCCAAGTAAGAATATTAGAATGCATGTTGTGTTTTGACGTGTGGTCACAACTTGGACGATTGCATTATATTGCATTGCTTCATAATGGGTTGATTCTGGACAATAGGTGCCGAAGGTCAAAGGAGGGGGCAGGGTTTCTGGAGGACCAAGACAGGCATTCTTTTGCGGTACGCCCCACAATCATGGATTTGCAGACCCATGCTTCTCACTTTGGTTTGTTCACTGGCTGGACACCACTAGGAATTAGTGGCTTGTGTTGATCGTGTTCGTCCGATGAATTGACTCTAACCAGGGGCTACGATCCCAAGGCTGCTGCTCCTTGGCTGCAGAGAAACTCCTGGAGATGGATGTTGACGAAGTTTCTGCTGTATTTCAGTCTTACCTACTACGGGTGCTGACACCTTAAACATCAAACATGGTCAAACATGCAGAGAGATGTTGCCCGAGTCTTAATGGCTCTTTGAGCCATCCAGTTTCTGACTATGAAAGGGATGATGGGAAAGGTGATGCTAGTAGGTTGGAGGCCTTTGCTTTTGGGTTGGAGGCCATTGCTATTAGAAACAAAGACAAGAGAAATGAGGACATCCAAACACTAGAATGGTTGATGACTTGCGCCTGAGGCCTTCAAGCGCCACGCCTTGGCTCCGGCCATCCGGCGGCTCGGGAGGTACGCAGGGGCTTCGCACTGTTCGGCCGGTGGTGAGTAAGGAGACTTGGTTGTGGCAGGTGGTGATTTTGTTGTGAGCTACAGGTGGACAGGTAGATCAATCCCAATCCAACAATGAGGACCCACGAGTTATATGAATCTGTCACAGTCACAACATGTCACAGCAAACCCACTGTACGGTATCTCTTGGAGCTCCAGAGCTTGTTCCTTTGTGAGATCGTTTTCTTTGGGCGAAGCAAATGCATTCAGAGGCTTCCAACGGTGACTTTCATATCCTTGAGCAGGCAGAGCGACAAACATGTTACAGACTAACGGAACTCAACAAAAGATTCTACACCAGGCTATTCAGTGCCACTGAATCAAACCCAGCAAGTCCAATTTGCTACAGAAAGCATCGGATAACATTTGTATGCTTTCTAGCTTTTGGCTGTCCTTGAGAACCACCATGGCTAGCTATTTGCCTGAATCACCGGAGTGCCTGGCTTAGGGGATGTCGGGCTCAGGGCCATCCAGCGACATTCTCTGGAAATTTCAAATGTCATCAGGCCGACTGGTGGCCAGCATGTGGAGGTGGGGCCGGTGGGGCTTGGATGTGAAGAATTCTGAAGTTTCACCAAAGCTTTCTTCTTTGGCGGGAAATACATTTTTTCACCAACACCTCATCCGAGACGATGAGAAGGGTTCCAGCTTGGAGGCTTGTTTGTTTGTCATACATTTTGTGAGCGATGGTAATTCTAAGAGGGGATTGCACCGTTTTGGTCAGTCTTCTTTTGATCCAGATCAAACGGCAAATATCAACATAGAGAAACACCGTTTCAGTGAGAGTTTGGACAAAGATTCTCTCTCAGACTTGACCATCTTGACCTCCCTCTCCAGATTTGCTTCTCCAAAGCAGCGCCAAGCAGCGCCTTTCTCCGTCGCAGACGAACCTGCTGGACTTTGGGCTCTTCACCCGTGAAGCCCTTGGGACGCTCCTGGCCGATGTGCCCAAAACGACTGGCCAATGGGCCCGCCCGGCACCTGAGAGCAGTTCCTGCGTGCTGGGTGGTTTGCCACAAAGGCAGGGTGAAGGTGTTAGTCACACTCTGCAAGAGAGATTACAGAATCAACAGGAATATTAGAGTGGATTTGGCATGATTTGGCAAGTGATGAAACTGCTTCCCCCTCTCTGGAAGGGACTTGGGGAACTCGTTTCTATGTGGCAGGCCAAAACGCCGAATGATGGCTGCAGAGGTGCATGTCTTGCTCTTCAGAGAAGATGTGACACTTGGGATGCTTCAGAGAGGGAGAGAGACGCACAGCAGAGCGATCTGGTGAACACCGCAGGCAGGATGAAGAGAGGATCACATCTCCATAGAGTGCATGAAAACTGATATCCCTTACTGGACAAGTCTCTTTGATTCGCTTTGGCAGTGGACGTGTCCCTTCAACCTCCAACTTCCAAATTCTAGGCCAGCATGGCTACTCGAAGATCCTCTAGAATCTAGAATGTTATGTTATGTTCCTCTGCCAAGGGGCTTGTTGTGGCCATTCTTCAGCCAGTTCGTTGTTACCTTCGGTTGAGGGGTCAAAACACATCTTGAGAGCACTATAATAAATTCACTAAAAAATCAAACATGCATGCGAATGCATGTGCGTACTTCATAGATACCATGTGTTGTTTCCCTGGCAGCCAGGGAAACGTATAGAGCGTATGTACAAACGTATAGAGCGTCACGCTGAGCAGCTTCACATCTCAGGACACTGCTGCAGGAGAGAATTCAGCTCGTGGACGCCTGAGGGCCGAGACCAGTTTCCGACGAACCGGAAGACAGCTGGAGAAAGAAGCGGCATCGCCGTCGCAGCCTCTATTTGGACATGTTCTTCTCGGAACATCCACGAAGCAAAGTCGACCGAGAGCGCGCACCAGTCTGGCTTGCAGTTTTCAGTCATTGTACGCAATGTCCATCCATTTGGGAGTTTGATGCGTCATTTTCGCGGGTGGGGAGATGAGGAACCGGATTTCTATTAGGCTTCTGCCAGGGCTCCGCATCTAATTATCTGGAATGTGTGACGACTGAGGCCGCCAGGAGGCCCCTGAAATATTTTGGTAGAAGGAATGAAGAGTTGTTTCACCATGCTATACCCAGTGGTAGTCTTTTTTGCGGTATCCCCATTCAGCATCATCATTTTTGCGGTAGGATTTGTATGGACTTGTGTTGCACTTCAATTGAAGCTATCCGGTTTTCATTGGATCTGTATTCGCTTCAATGGATCCAACATGATTCGTGATCGTCTTGGTCCGGGGTTCCTTTGCAACAGAACAATCATAGACGAATGCAGACAATTGCTACACAACTGCACTCTCAGACTGCCAGACTCAGCCTTGGGCTGCACGTCTAGTCTCTTTACATCGGAACCTCGTGGAGGCCTCGAAGGTGTACAGTCTACCAGT